AGTTAATTTTCTATTTCCAAAATAACCATTTTTAAATTATAATTATTTTTAAATTCTTCTATATTTTCTTAACAATATCTATAACCAATAAGTGAATGAAAAATGTTTTTAGAATATTAAATTTAATCTATTTATAAAATAATTAAAATTATTTTATAAAAAATATATAAATATATATATTTATATATCTTTATATTACTTGTATTAAAATTAGAAATCAGTTTATTCCAAATAAAAGAATTATTAATTTAAAATATAGCCAATAAACAAGGAAATAAAGAACCATAATATTATAACATATTTTCTTAATTATTTTTTATAATTCTTACTAAATTATCAATAAAAAAGTCAAGAATTTATTTATCATAAAACTTTTAATTACATGCCATATTATAAATAGCAAAATATAAATATTTAAAATCATTACTATTAACATTAGTCATATGATTTTATACTGTTTAAAAATAAACTTTTTTTAAGAATTTTATTTAATCTTCATTTAAAGTTGGTATTTTTTCTGTAGCAATATTATAAATTAAAAAATCCATTTAATGTTACGAAAATCCTACTTTTTTTCATAATATTATTTTTACATTCTAATTTAAAATTCTTTAGAAAGTAACTCTATTAAAGATAATTTATTTATTCTGAAATTGTATATTTACATTACTAATTTATAAAAATCATCATTAGAGATTTCATTTATTTAATCTTCAAAATACCATTAGTTTGATACCTAGTTAATATAAATACTATTTAAATGCATTTTTAAGCCAAAAGAAAGTAATTTAATAGAAGTTTATATATTTTATTATTTAAAAGTGGCCAAATGATCAAAAAAACATTGAAAATTAAATATATAAAATTAATTATTTTCTACAAAAATACATAGTTATTCTAAAAAATCTTCTATTTTTTACATACATAGGTTTTATGAATTTTATATAAAAACTTCATATGAGTTTTTTATGATTCTTAGCTAATTTATATGCTCTTTTTAACAATATTTATTTATAAGAAATAATGCTTTTGTCATTTATTCAGTTTTTTCATATTTTGTATTCAACAAAATTCTTTATAAATTATTCTTAGGACCAATTATATAATTATACACATATATATAGTCTAAAAAATGATCTAAATTTAACTTTTTTGGACTATTTTCTAATAAAAATTACTTAATTATTGCTTTTGAAAAATCTGTAAGTTAATACGTATGTTGAATTAGTTTAAAACATTTTATCTTTTCATATATTTTTGTATCTTTTTATTATAATATATCATTAATCAGCTTTATTTCGTCTGAAACTTCCTTTTTTTATTTTATTGGGCTTGAATCTATTAAAATATCTAAACCATTTTATTATTATTAAGGTGGCTCAATATCTAATAAAATATCTATTTGGGAATCTTCAAAGATTTATTCTTAGATATGAGATAGTTTTTAATTTTATATTTCAAAATGATTTAGGTTTATGTCAAATATATGGTCATTTTTGTCGGATAATCTTTAATAATATTATTATAATTTTTGGGTTGATCTTCTTTAGAATTGAATTGAGGAAAATTATTTAAAAAGTTGTTTACTGAAATACATTATATATTTTAGTTTTTACTTTTTAATTTTAGTTTTTTGTTATGTTTATTATTTTTTTTAATTTTAGTTTATTTTTTTAAATAATATTTATATTTTTATTACTTATTTAATGTAATTTTATTTGATTATAATTATAAATTCTACTAAATAGTATTAAATATGTTTTAAATAAAAGAATTTAATAGATTTTTTTTAATTTATATTCTCTAAGACTACATTTTTTATATTTTAAATGAAAAATAAAATTTCAAATAGATTTTTCTAGAAATAAATAACTTAAATTTTAATGAAATTTTATTTATAAATATTTTTTTTTTTTTTCTTTAATAAAAAAACAAAAAAAATAATAGAATTAAATCAATAAATATAATTTTTTAATAAAAGCAAAATATTATTTTTTTAATTAAAATAAAAAAAATTTAATCTGAAAATGTAATTTTAAATAATACAAATTGCTTATTTTTTATCTAATAAACGGAAAAGAAAATACCAATTTAACTTCTTTCTATTTTAGTAAGTTTTTAATATTATAAATGGGCTTTTTAGTAGTATTTTCATGTAGTTCTATATTGATTTAATAATAATTCACTTTTTTAATCATTTTTTTTTCAATTTTTTATCCTAACTAAATTTTATTTTTTATAATTTTTTTTTAAAAAAATTCAATTGGAACAAAAAAAAAGGCAATTATCAGTTTTCCTCGTCATTGTTTTATTATTTATTTTTTTTAAAAAAAAATTAATGTAAAAAAACTAATATAATTATAAATTTATTAAGCAAAACTAACAAAACAAAAATATAAAGCAAATTAATTATTTTTATTAATTTAAATGTCTAAAGAGTCCCATTTTTTAATGATATTATTTATTTAATTGACCTTTTATTAGTATTTCAAAAATTTCATATTTTCTTCTTATATTACTTAATAATCAATAAAATAATATGAATCGATAATATCACTGAAAATTAAAATTTTCGATATTTAGATTTATCCAAAAGCACTTCTTCAGTTTTTAATGAATGTATTCCATTTTTCTTAAGTTTTTAATAAAAGTATTCCATTTTGTTCTAAATAAACTCTTGTTTAATTTCGTTTAAAATTTCAATATAATTTTAATTTAAATGAGAAAAATATTAAGAATTATTATTTGATGAAATATTGTTTGCTTTATACATAGCTTTATTATTATTATTATTACTATTATTATTATAAAAAGGGCGAAAAAGATTATTAATTCAATTTTTTTGTGGCGCTACCTTATTTTAAATTTTTAAATGGCAATAATCTCCTTATTATGTGTAAAATAAAGAAATTTTTTTACTTTTTTATGAAAATTCTAGGATTTTTCAAAATATAAATTTAATACATTGATTTTAAAAAGTTTCTTAGTTATTGTTTTTTAAAGAATACAGTTTAAAACTTATAATATTAAGTATATTTTTTATATAAAATAATTGAATAAACTATAAAATTAATTTATATAATAAATAATAATCAAAATTAACTTCTTAAAATAATAGTTTTTATTTTTTATTTGAAAAATTAATTTCCTTATACCAATAAATTACTTAATAAACTATGAAAAACAATTATTTTATCACGTAAAAAATTTAAATACTTATAAACCTTAACTAGGTGTTTTTTTTAGGAAAATTAAATATAAGATAACTTTAAATAAAAATTTGTTAACTTAAAATATAAATAAATAAACGAAATAACTATGCAAATTGATAACCAAATAGATATAAAATTATAAATAATTTAATTTATTTTTAAAATATAATAAAAATTCAAAAATAAATAAATATATCATTATTATTTAGATCATTAACAACTTAAAATGTATTATTTATATATTTATTATATATTAATCAAAATAAAAAAATAATAATTTTTTATATAATTAAATTTTTTAAAAAAATATAAAGATTTATAAAAAATAAATATTTAGATATAATTTTATATTTTTTTTTTATTCAAAATAAATAAAAAAGAAAAAATATCATAAATAAAATTAAAAAATATTGATAATATAGCAAAATATATGATTTGCAAAATATATATATATATTATATTTTATTAAAATTATTTTTAAAAATACATATATATATATTTATATATATATATTTAAAAATATATATTTATAAATATATATTTATATATATATAAATATTGTTTTTATTTTGAATATATATTTTTACATATATTTGTATATATTTTTTTATTATATTATAATTAATACATATTTTATATTATATTTATTGTATTTATATACTTAAACTTAATTATTTCCTATAAATATTTAAATATAATATTTTATTTTGTACAAAATATATAATATATTATTTTTTAATATTTAATTTTTTTATTTTATTAATTATTTTTATAATAAATGCATTTTTCAGGATTAAAAAGCTCATTTTGTACACTCATTGAATAAACTCGTGCAAAATTAAATCATCATAATGCATTTAAATATTTTTTTTTATTATAATTATTTTTATATATATAATATTTTTATTATTTAATTATTATATTATTTTATATTATTTTATTCCCTATATATATTGAAAGGATAAATTTATTTTATACTTTCATATTATAATTTTTGTATTTTTTTTTTATTTTATTTAAAAATCCAATTTGCATTAATTAATATTTTAAAATTGATAATTAATATTTATTTTTTTAATAAAAAAGAAAACTATAAAAAAACATTATGAATTATTTATTAATATATATTATTATTTTTTTAGATTTATAAAAAAAAAAAAACATAAAAATTTATAATTTTATACAAATAAAAAATATATGTATATAAATATAAAAAATTATAATTTAAATGATAATAATAATATATTAATATTATGTATATATAATATTCAATAAACAATATAATTTAAAATTAAAAAAATTAAATAGTGAGATTTATTAAAAAATTATAATACTAATTAGCAAAAAAAATTAAATAAAATCGACCTTAAAAATACTAATATGTATTTTTATAAATTTATTTTATTAATATTTAATCAATTTTTAGTACTTTCATCTATAATATGTATATTAGCAGGATCATAATGTAATCCTGAATATACAACAATTTATTCATACTAAATATAAATTATTAAAATTATTAGTATAAATTATATTAAAAAATAACCCTTTTTTAGTTTTAGTTAATGAGTTTGTTTCCAAAATTTCAACATTTTTTTCTCCGTCTTTAAAATTTATAATAATTACATAATGTAATGTTTTATTCATAATATCTTTTTTTAGTTATTATTAATATTATTTTTTAAAAAAAATATATAAATATATATATATTAATATATGTTTTATATATATATATATATTTAATATTATTATCTTTATAATTATATAAATTACTATCTAATCCCCGTTTAACAATGAAAACATTTTATATTGTATCTAAACTCCTTTTATTAATTTTACTAAAGCAAAATATATTTTTTTATTTAATTTCCACTAGATTATCCTTTTAAAAATAAATAAAAATTATTATATGTTATTTTATTCTTAATATATTACTTATTTGCTAAATTTTATAATTTCTATTTTCTTTGCAATAAGAAAGCTTATTCCTAAAATTATAATTATAACAGATATTAAATATTACCACCAATAACTGAATATTAATATTTTAAAATAATGATTATAAGATATTTTAAAATAAATAATACCCTTGATTAAAACCCTTAATTTAAGAATTCTTTTAATTTGATGATAAACTGATTAATAAATAAAATCCTAAAATAATCATTAAAATTCCTACTGACCATACTCCGACTGGCACTTAAGATTGTTAAATAAATTTTTAGTTTTTTAAATCTTGTTATTTTTCTAAATCATTTTAGTTTACTAGATTTTTAATATAAATAAACTTATTTTTATATTAAAAAAAAATATTTATGTAAAAATTAAATACCTATATACTTAGCTTATTTTCCTTTTATTTACTTATGACTTACTGCTGCTGAACGAGCACCTGAAAAACCTGATTTCATTTATTATTATTTTCCTAAATAATAATAAAATAATCTTAATTGAAAATAATATATATAAAATAATTTTTTATAATTTAGGAGATTATAGTAAAAAATATTTTTTTTTTTAAATATAAATAAATCATTTATTTAATTATATAAAATATTTTATTTTATTATTTATTTTTTCATAAAAGTTATTATTTTTCATAATTATTTATTTAAAATATGAGTTTTATAATTAAAAATAATTATTATTTTAACTTCAATTTACATTAAATATATTTAAGTAAAATAATAGAAAATAAATTAAAATATTCAATAATTAAAAATAAAAATGAACAATAATTAATAAAACATTAATAATAATATTTCTTTAATAAATTAATTTATTTTAAAAAAATTAAAATATTAATAAGATTAAAGGATATCTTAATAAAATACTTCTAATAGCAAACAATAGACACAATAGAATTAAAATTAAAAAGATAATATATTGTTAGTAATTAAAATAAATTTAGGAAACGGATAATATGAGAAACTATAAATAAAAGAAAATGAAAATTTTGAAGAAGCTGCAATTAATTTTTGCAATATGCATGGTTTGAATAATTAAGCCGTTTAAATATTGAAAAATAATATAGAAATGAATATTTAGCAAATAAACTTTAAGCGAATTTAAAAACTTCAAAAGGAATATAGTTAATTTTAATCTAATGTTGAAGTTAATAAAAATTATGTTTATAGTTAAATTTTATAATAAAACTACATTGATGATAACTAAATATAATATGAAATAATGTAATTTATTTATTTTTTTTCATAAAAAAATAAAATAAAATATTTGAATTGATAAAAAGTGCTAAAAATGAAATCGATAATAACTAAAAAGAAAATAATCAAAAATAATATAATAATATTCAATAATAATAAGATAAAAGATAAACAGCTTTTGAAAGACTTTATTAAGATGTAAATTTAATATTATAAAAATAAATTTATATTTAATAAATAATATAATTAAGATATGATAAAACGCTTATTTTTGCATTTAAATATATATTTTCATTTTTATTTTTATTTTATTTTTGATTATAGGCATAGAAAAATCAAATTAAAAAATAATAATCGAATATATAAGAATTTAAAAAAAGCTCAAGTTAAAATAAAAGTTTAGATAAAACTATCATTAAGGATAACTAGTATTAAAAAGCAATATAATAAATTTAAAGACATTAGAATAAAATAAAAGAATATTAAGTATTAAAAGAATAGGAACTTTCCAAAAGCCTTACATTCAGACCTACTTTGTGTTAAAAAACTATAAAAATATGTGTAATATAATAACAAAAATATTTTTTTATTATTATATTAACAAAATACTATTATGCAATTAAAATTAGAATTTAATTAGAAGCGGTAGTAATTATCCAAGAGAATATGAGTTAATTTAAAAGGGATAAAAAACAAAGCAAAAAATAGAACTTTTTAGGTCTATAAAAGAAGAAAAAAAAGATTAAAATTGTACATTTAAACCTGAAATAAATATGATGTAATTTTAAATATTTGACTAAATATAAAAATTTAATGAGATAAAAAAATAAAAGGAGTGATTTAATTTGTTAATTAAAAAATCAAGAAAAAGATGAAATAAAAAAAAATCATTTTGAAGAACTTTATGAAGAATCAATAAAAAGATAATTAAAATAAGAATAAAAATAGTATTTAAAAAAAAAATATATATTTTTTAAATAAAACTAGAAAATAATAAGAATTTAATTATTAACCAAGCATTAATAAGAATTATTAACTAAGTTCAAGTTTTAATTTCATGCAAAGAATGGAATAAGCAGAATAATAAAAAAGAAAATATTGATGAGTAAAGAATTCAAATTATTAATATATTTTATTAAAAATAGCTTGATTTTATAAAAAGAAGAGACTTTAAAGTAATTTAGTAGTTTTGTTCCATAAACAGGAAAAAAAATTGGCGAAGTATAGTAAAAATAAATTTATTCTAAATTTTTTTTTTTTTAAATATAACAAAAATTTGATAATAATCTTTGCGTTTTTTTACAGAGAGATTTGAATGGAAAACATATATGGGATTATTTATATAGTTTAAGAGAAAATAAATAATAGAAAATATAAGAATAAGAATAGAAATAAAATAAATAATATTAAACAATAAATGAAAAATCTAAATCAATAGTTAATAATATTATAAAGAAAAAACTTGAGCTATTATTTAATTAATTAGATAGTGATCAAGATGGATTGATTTCTTCAAATAATATTAGCTTTGATAATATCCCTGTAGATATTTTATAAATATTTATTCCTGTTTTTAATGAAATGGAACGAATAAATTTTACTTTTAATTTCGAATCATTTTATGAATCTGCAAAAGCAAGAATACAAGTTCGTAAAAATAATAATAAACAAAAATTTATTTAAATAAAAAAAGGAATTATCAATTATGCAAAAAGATATGATTTTCAATAATTAAAAAGATAAATGGGATATGAAAAAATAATAATATAATTATAATAGTTATAGACCTGAAATTAATGTTTTTTCACAATAATTAGCATAAAAAAGAAACTATAAAAGCCATTAAGGAATATATGAGCATGGAATGTAATTAAAATAATGTAAGATGGAAAAAATAAATTAAGAAAAATAAAAAATTAATGAAAAAGAAATAATAGAATGTTCTTTTAGACCTAAACTATTTAAAAAAATTAGTTATTAGTAATTTAGTAATAAAAATTTTGTATATTAATAATATTGATAATAATCACTTATTTTTAATGTTTATTTATCAGTAATATATTTTTTTTTCATAACATGTATAAGAAATATAAAAATATTATTTTTTATTTTTAGAAAAATAAGAATAAAAAATTTTATATTAAAGTTAAAATAAGAGCATAATTTGATATATTTAGTAAAATAATAAGACATTATTAAATATAAAAAATAAATATGAATTTTAAATATAAATATAAATATATATATATATATATATATATATATATATATATATATATATATTAAA